CAAAACCCCCCTAATGAAGGAATATACCTTTACGGTTTAGTTTTTTCAGGGTCCTTAATCATACTAGGGTTCAGGGTCTTTAATCATATTAGGGTTTCTACTATAACTTACGGTTGAGGGTTTAGGGTCTTGAATCATCTTAGGGTTTCTACTATAACTTACGGTTTAGGGTTTAGATTCTTGAATCATCTTAGGGTTTCTTTTGCAACTGAAAAGGGCTCTTCCTTAAAGCAAAAAAGGGGGCTTTGGAGACTCGGGGAAGCTCCTGAAACCCGTCCGGGTAGTGGCCGATAATGGCAACGTTGGTGCTCTCCTGGGTTGGCAGGAAATGATGCTTGGGGCTTAGGCTTTGGGGTTTCGGGATGAAGGTTTAGGCTTTGGGGTTTAGGGATGAAGGTTTAGGGTTTGGGGTTTCGGGATGAAGGTTTAGGGTTTGGGGTTTAGGGGTGAAGGTTTAGGGTTTGGGGTTTAGGGATGAGGGCTTAGGGTTTGGGGATTGAGGATGAAGGTTTAGGGCTTGGGGTTAAGGGATGAAGGCTTAGGGTTTGGGGTTTAGGGATGGGTACACATATGGTTTAGGGTTTGGGGTTTAGGGATGGGATTAGGGCTTATGGGACAGGGTGGGTACAGTTGTGTAGGTCAAGTAAGTGCAGGCTGTTGCATGTAATATGGTGGCCTCAATCCCCAGACCCCCAAAAGGATCTAAAAAATAGATCCCCTAATTCGGGACCCTAACTACTAAAGGGTACTTTATAGGAACTCCCTTAGGGGAGCTATTTTTTAGATCCTTTTGGGGGTTTGGGGTCATAATCATCTGGCTTTGGGGCGACAAGGAGATAGTGTTTGTAATTCTTCGACCCCCAGATTCTGTTCCCACCCTAAACCCGAGACCCTAAACCCTAAAACCCCAATCTAAAACCCCGAAACCCTAAAACCCTAAAACCCTAGCACCCTAAACCCTATAACCCTAAACCCTTAAAACTCTAAAACCCTAAAACCCTAAACCCTAAAACCCCGAAACCCTAAAACCCTAAAACCTAAACCCTAGAACCCTAAACCCTATAACCCTAAAACCCTAAAACTCTAAAACCCTAAAACCCCCAGGTTATGTTCCCAGACTCGAGACGGTTCTTAGCAGGCACCGGTCTGGGGAGGCCCTCTTACTATGAGGGTACTGTTAGGGGCCTTAATAACTAGAACAGGGTTTTAGGGTATTTTATACTATAATCATAATAAGGACCCCCCCCCAAAAAAAATAGTGTAAGTATAGGTAACTATTGAGGCGCCTATATGACTTTTAGGGTTCTATAAGGGTTCTATACGGGTACTGTAAGAGTACTCTAAGGGGACGGTTTGGGGGACTCTACTCGCTTCTTCCGCTTCCGGGCTTCAGAGTGTTTGGGGCTTGGGGGTTCTGTACTTCCCAGGAATTGTGAACCCCAAATCCTACACCCTAAACCCCAAACCCTGAACCCTAATTTCTAGACCCTAAACCCGAAACCCTGAATTCAAAACCATAAACCCAAGCCCCAAACCCTGAATTCTAAACCCTAGACCCCAAACCCTAAACCCCAAACCCTAATGTCAAGGATCCCGACATATGAAGACGAGAAGCGGCCTTCTTTGCCCGAGCACTCATCATAGCAGTGGAGGCCTCGTCAGGTTTGCGACCGCTTACCCAGAGACTCCACAGTTTTTTGATGAAGGAATACACCCTTAATGTAGGGGCCTTAACAATTCGAACAGGGTTCCTTTAAAGGGCTCCTTAAAGGGTGCTATAAGGGATCTGTAATAGGGTTCTATAGTAGGGGCCTCAATAACTCGAATAGGGTTTTGGGGGTTCCTTAGTATAATTATCGTATAATATACCCCATAACCTATTCAAACTATTAAGGCCCCTATTTTACCCAGAGACTCCAAAACCCCTTAATGAAGGAATCCACCTTCAATCATACTAGGGTTCCGATTACAATTTAAGGGACATTCCTCTCAGGGGTTTTGGGTACAAGCAGGGTCATGCAGCTGGCGAAACCTTGCTCGCCAGCTCACCTAAAAACCAGAAGACTACTGACAAAACAACACCTGGGGACAGGAATTCGTTGAACGGTGCTTCTTACACTTGCGGAGATCATGCGCTACGCCACTAATATGGGGTTTTTATTGATTGGAATAGGGCTTTGGTGTATAAAATAGAATACTACGTCTAAAGGAGCCAAAGGAACAGCAACTCTGACTTGTGCTTTTACCTTACACTCTAAATCCTAAATCGCCGAAGCCCGCTGAAACTGTCAAAGCTTCTCCCTTGCGGCCGGGTGGCATCGCGGATGCTAGCCAGGCTGTCATAAACCTTTCAGGGATCCAGAGAGCCCCACCCACCTTAACAAAGCCAGGTACCTTTCATCGCGGTAAGTGTGTTAAGGATAAAAACTAATCCATACATAAGAGGTGAGGTAGGGGCCTTCAAGAATTATACTATATCTATGGGACTATACGGGAATGCGAGTAGAACTTCTGGCGACCCCTGTCTCATGGGGCTCTCGGAGAAGTCCTAGGCAGGACCGGACCCAAACCCCAAGCTCCGAGTCAATGAAACCTGTACCATAGGGGCCTTAACCCCGAAAGCCTGAGATCATGCCCAGAGACCCCCAATGCCCCTTAATTAAGGAATATACCTTGAATTATAGGGCCCTTAATATTATGATTTAAGGTATATTCCTTAATTAAGGGGTGTTGGGTTCTCTGGGTACCATAGGGGCCTTCACCCCGAAAGCCTGAGATCATGCATACTTCAGCCAAGCCGGAATCTGCTTTTGCAAGCAAGCGGCTCGCTGCGTTCCCCCGCACGCTTTCGCGGTGTCCTGCACGGCACGTGGCGTTCGCGGCTACCTACTACGAAAATGAAGAGCCCGCAGCAACAAACGTACGAGGAGTTCGCAACGCCGAAGCACCCCAGCCCACCAGCCCACCGTCGTAAAACCAGGCACCACAAGATTTAGGACAAGCGTACTCGTAAACAGGGCAGTGGTTGCAGCAGCACCAACGGCCATAGTGACATGACCACAGCAACAACGACGACGGCGGCAGCATGCGAGATAGTGACAATGACAGCAACGCTACTCATGTCAATGCCACTGCCAACGGCCAGGCCACTGACACTTGCAGTCCCTTTTTCGCCGAACTATCTATAATGTGACCCTAAACCCTATTGATACCTACAGTCCCTTTTTCGCTGTACTATAATGTGACCCTAAACCCTAATCAAACTATTACAGCCCCCATGTTCAGCCCCAGCCCAAGCTTCGAGAACGACCCATGGCCATCGGGCTGGACCTTCGAATGGCACATTTAAGGGAAACGTGAGAACGGCAGAGGGGTGAAGATCGTCGAAGACGCGCTGCTGCCAGTAGTCATTCGAATCACAGCCATCAGGATAGGGTTTAGGGTTTAGGGTTTAGGGTTTAGGGCTTAGGGCTTAGGGTTTAGGGTTTAGGGTTTAGGGTTTAGGGTTTAGGGTTTAGGGTTTAGGGTTGGGGATAGGATGCGGATACAGCCGACGACAGTTCAAGCAATCTTCAGTCCCAGAATCCCCCAAAAACCTAAACCCTGAACCCTCAAACCAAAAACCTAAACCCTGAACCCTTCAACCTAAGCCCTAAACCCTAAAAGCCCTTAACTGCCTGAAACCCCGAAACATCCTAAGCCCTAAAACCCTAAGCCCGAGAAGCCCGAAACCCCCAACCCTGAGCTCTCTTCTTCCATAACCGGCCCTCCAAAGAGTTCAAACTTTCTATCATAGACAAAATACAAGGCCAAAAAGGTTCAAAGTTCTCCTAAGCGTAACCCCTAAACCCTAAACAACAAGTTTAACAGTTCACACAACCCAAAACCCCAAACCCCAAACCCTCATTTTTACGGTTTAGGGTTTAGGTTCTCTCAACCCTAAACCCTACACTCTAAGCACCTGAGCCCTTTCCGACCCCGCATCTCCCCCCGGCCTTCGCGGCGCCCGTGTGGCCGAAGCCGTTCCCACCCAGGCCGTTGCGGTCGTACCAGTTGTAGTCCCTTACGATGTAGGGGCCTAAATAATTGCCAATGCTACTTTGGGGGTTCTTTATTAGTTTTATAGTATAAGATAGTAGTCCCTTATGACCCAGAGACTCCAATACCCCTGAATTATACCGTAAATCATATTAGGGACCCTACTATAATTTAAGGTAGATTCCTTAATTAAGGGGTATTGTAGTCCCTTATGATGTAGGGGCCTCGACAATTACCAAAACTGTTTTGGGGGTTCCCTATTATATTATTATTGTTATATTATTATTATGGGGATTATAAAAGTAATGGTACAACATACCCCCAAACCCTATTCTAATTATTAAGGCCCCTGTAATACCAGTTGTAGTCCCTGAGTTGCCAGGTAGTCGAGTTTAGGGTTCAAACAGGGTTTTGGGGGTTTGAGGTGTTGAATATAAACAAATAAAGAGTATATATATATATATATAGCTATATATATATATATATATATCTATATATATATATATATATCTATATATATATATATATTTCTGGGAGCGTCTGGAGACGCTTTCTGTATATATATATATAAACCGCGATTTGGGAAACTTCGGGCTTGACGAGATTTGGGAAGCTTCGGGTTTGAAGCGCACCTGGGGAAGAGACATCTGACACTGTAGCTTCCACGGCGGTGTTTGATACCTGCTGCCCTGAACCGACACCCCGACCAAAACCCGGAAAAAGACATCCCAAACCCTAAGCCCAACACGCGGCAGAGATGCTGTTCCCACGGTTTGTTGCAAGGTTCCAAGAGACTCCAAACCCCTCAAGAGTATATCCTAAATCATTAGGGGGATCCTTATATGATATATTAAATATGTGCTTAGATATAAGGCAGATTCCTTAACCTTGCTCCTTTGCCCAGTGCACCGTCAGCACGCTCTCGGTGACAAAATTTAATCGCCCCGAACGGTACTGCACTAAGGCAAAATCCTTTACCTTCCCCCGAATGCGCCCCACACCCGAAACTGCGAACACGAGACGTTTCTCAAACGACCCAGCAAGTTTCTTCGAGCGCCGTTATCGCAACCATGACGATCTAGTGCTAGGATTGTCTTTACCGTTATCAATATTGCCATGGTTCCCATTCGTTGTATTACTACTACAAATGTCACTACCAGTACTAGTACTAGTTCTGGTACTAGTACTAGTTCTGGTACTAGTACTAGTACTAGTACCACGACTACTACTGCCACTGCCTCCTACTCCTCCTCCTCCTACTACTGCTGCTACTACTGCTACCACAACCCTAAACCCCAAACCCCAAACCCTGAACCCCAAACTCTACTACTGCCATTACGGCTACTAGCCGCTCCCTGAAGTCTAAGGCCGTCTTTGTTGGGAGCAGCGGCATGCTGATCAGCTCGAAGTCCAACTCCGGGATGGTGTAGAAATACCTGGGCTTTCAGGGGTCAGGGGGTAATTCCCTAAATTAGGGTCTCTTTTTAGGTCCCCAAACCAAATACCTGGGTTTCAGGGGTCTATAAAGGGTAATTACCTAAATTAGGGTGTCTTTTTAGGCCCCACACCCAATCCAGTTACGGCACCCTTGGGACAAGGACCCTCAGAAGGATTCTAATTTAGAGAACTACCCAAGGGGTGTTAGGGTTATTACAGTTGTTACTACAACGGCTTCGTGTGGAAATGCCTTACAAGGCTCCAAGGCTTTATGCGGTTTTTAGGGGTTTAGGGTCCCTAAACCCTAGGCCCCTATAGGGCTTGGGGCTTAGGAGTCGCCAAGGCGCATGAAGTCGGGGGAATGGAAATTCGTCCGCGCCTCGCCGTCCACACCGCCCTTCTCAGAGTTGAGCCTTGGCAAAGAAGGGGCCTTAGTAGTTAGAAAAGGGTTCAAAAAAAGCTGCGTTGTTTTTTTTTTAAATCAGGGCTTCTACAAAGGGGTTGATAGGGCCGTGTAGGATTTAGAGTATAGGGGCCTTTATGATTGGAAAAGAGTTTAGGGCTACGGGCGTATATTGTTGGATTAAAGTCGGTTTTGGGGATTTTACTACTAATGATTCCGACCCATATCTTACTGGAAGCACCATCGAAACTCCTTTTACAATTGGTTCGAGTTTAGGGTTCAGGGTTTAGGAAACCCTAAACCCTAAACCTTTAAAACCTAAACCAGCAGCGTTTAAGAATTCGAACTTTTGGGGTTCTTTCAATCGGGGTTTGATTTGTAGGATCCTTATGAAAAGCGTCTGGTAGTCTTTCTTCGGGCAAGAAAGAGATCCTGCCCTCAAGCCCAGGTTGCTGATGTGGAGGCCGAAATAAATATTAAGTAATATCATTCCTTGGGGTTCAGAGGAAATAGCTATACTGTATTTTACCGTAAAAATCCTGAATTTTCGAGGCCCCTGTATTACTGTGACGTCTTTGCAGGCATGAGGGAGGGAGATGCTAGCAATGGTCCTGGGTTGCGGGATGATTGTGGCGCCTGTCGTAAAGGTGGTGGTTGATGCCGGTGGCTACAAGGAGGAGTAGAAGGAGTAGGAGGAGGAAGAGAATGGAGCAATGGATGCTTCTGCCTGGTCGAAAGCGATTCTCTCGCTTTTTGGCGTGACAAGCTGCAAGAGTCAAGACCTGCATTAGGGTTCGGCTTTCAAAAATCCGACAATCCAAGCACGAGTCCTACTGTGCTTCCAATGATGAATCCTCAACCTCTACCTACGGGCGCATACAGCCCCAACAGCCCCGAAATCGCAATTTCGCAACAGAACGCACAGCATCGTCCCATAGAAGCACGTAGCACGAACGCTTAAATACAACTGCCGAAGATGTCATCCACTTTTCAAGCACATCCTCAAGCCGCCGAACATGAAGGAGTGAATTCAGCAAACCCCTAAGTCCTGCACCTTTGGAGCCTGTCAGCCCTTTACAAGAATCGATTTGGGGGTTTTGGTTTCGGAGCTCTCCTCTACCAGAACCAATCTGGTGGCTGATTGCAGGCATAACTTTGATCTTCGGCGGAGTAGGACTCCTTCGCACTTTCTGGCAGACATGTGCAAGACCACGCTGCGATGTGGGTTGCTGTGTGTTCGTAATGTAGGGGCCTAAATAATTACCAATACTATTTTGGGGGCTCCTTATTATAATCATAGTGTAATGGGCCCCAAAACCCTATTCTGATTATAAAGGCCCCTATATAATCAGCACGGTAAACCATAAGACCCGAAGATGCATACATCCAAGATTCCCAAAGCGTGCTCTGCACTGGCCAAAACCCTCATTGAGACCCTACTCATCTGCTCTTCTCGGTTGACACCACGTGCGGGCGAAGGACGTCTTAGCATCAGAGGCTTTATACTCAGAATAGAATATCGTCCTCTGTTGCTTAAGCCTTCAGGATAAACAGGTTCGCAGTAGTCGGTGCATCCTTGCCATAAACGTCAACATTGGCCCCACTAATGCTACCCAACAGGAAATTCCTCAATCAGCTGGACCCTAAACCCAAAACCCTAAGCCAAACCGAGCCAAGGTTTCCCATGAACTCCGCAGCAGACCAGATGCTGCAACATGTTACGAAGTAATGCAGGGGCCTTAGTAATTAAAACAAGGTTTTGGGCTCCTTTATAGTATGGTTATAATAAGGAGCCCTGAGGAATAATATTGATAATTCTTTAGGCTTGTAAAATACTTCTAAACCTCCCAGCAGATCCCAAGTCCCAAGCCCTCCGAACCTCCGAACACCCAAGTCCTGAACCCTGAACCCCAAGACTCTAAATCCCTAAAGCCCAAAGCCCTGAGCGCCCAAGCCCTAACCGCAAACCCTTAGGGCCTTAGAGGATCCTATACCCAGACACCCGGGAGGATCTACAAAGTACATCCCCTAGTTTGGGACCCAAACTACACAAGGGTACTTTATAGGAACCCCCTTAAGGGATGTATTTTTTGGATCCTCCCTGTGGTCTGGGTAAAGGAACTGCATCTTCTGAGACAAGCATATGTCTAACTGGAAACATGCAATCGCGAACTCTTGAAACACATGTGTGAAACTGAACCTGTTTCTAGTTACATGGCTGCCCTGTAACCTTTCATCTTTTTTCTTTCTTCTTTCGAGGTCTTATCCATGTCTTGTTTCGGACCAGCGGCCCTCTTCTCCTACCCTACTTCAGCTCTGCACTTGCACAGTACTCATGTTCATGTGGTGTGCATGTGCATCAAAGAATTTGCAAAGCTTCAGACATAGAACAAGTGGGGTGGTTCGCAAATACTGAATTGTTGCAAAAGAATACTCACATACCTAGCCGAGGCATCATGAGCAAAACGTGTTGAAAGCATCAACCATGGGCATCTGGGAATTCCTAGAACATCCTCCAACTGTCCAAGTGGGTCACCCTCGGAAATGGCGAGTCAGTTTCTCGACGCGAAATCTTGACTTCCGTGATTGCCGGATCATCTCTTCCGTCTGGATCACCAGGTGGAGGAAGATCAGGTGGATCTTCTCCCGGAGCATCACGTCCCTTTGGTGTCTTCGGAGGATCACCTCCGCGTCGGCTTGGGCTGTCCGGCGGGTCTCTGCCTCCACTTCTTCCAGGTCCAAAATTTGTTGGAGAATCAGACGGATGGACACTTGGGTCACCTTCTTCATCATCTTCATCGTCATCACCTTGGTCCTGATCGGCGAACTCTTGGAGATATTCAGCGGTTTGTCGCCATTCATTTCGCTCGTCACGAAGTCGACGTTCATTCTCCTGGGCTCGTTATAGCTGGACTCGAAGTTCGACCATTTGTGCGATGTGGTCGTTCTCGGCGTTACTTGTTTTTTCCTGATTAGCTTGCACTCCAGCAGATGGGTCTCGCCGAGCTGCCGACGGCGCAAACGGCTGCCCAAATGATCTTGCATCCGCGTTGTTCACGTCTTCCGCAATCAATCTCGCAACAGTTTTCTGACTGGCTTCTTCTCTGGGAACCTTAGTAGGCGCCGTTCTAGCTGAAGAAGAAGATGATGCTCGCTGTCCCATGTTCAATCCACTAAGCAGTTCACGTACTTGACGATTTCGCATCTGTGTGCCGTCTTCAGGAACATTTCGCTCACGTCCTGTGAACATGTTTGTAGTGGAATGTCCAAAGTTGTCGAAGACGCCAATGGGTCATGAACGGGGACTTCTTGTGCGTCGTACCAGACTGAAGTGAGCTTTGACGATTCATGCTACGCTGGTTGGGGGTTCCGAGTCCAGGGGATCGTACGTCCGTTTCATCAGGCAAATCAGTGCTCCTGCCCTCATCTACCCTCACCCAACGGGTGTCAGACGTTTTCGAAGACAAAGGCAAGCTCGGGGCTTGAGAACTCAACTGAAGAGGTATGCGTCGTTGCAAATCCAGTTCACTCTTCACCTTCTCATACATCTCTTCCTGCATCTTGGGCTTTGGGCGAAGTTCCATCACCTCTGATTGTATTGTATAGCGGGAAGAGCTTGACGTTCAGAGAGACGGGACTGAAGTTGCGTCTCGGCTTTCTGCATCACAAGCCGGACTGCAGATTGCATTTCCTCGTCGTGTCTAAGATGCTGAACCAAGCGATCGTGCGCCGTGTTGTACTCAGATCTTTGCCGCGATGCTACGTCTTGTTCCCGAAGTACTCGCATCTTTGCGTCATTGACCTCCAGTTGTAACTCATTCGCAACGTAGAGCTCTGCTTCCTTCACGGCTTGAAGTTTACCCTTCATCTTCTGAATGAATGCTTCGCTGGAAGATTTTGCTGCTTTGAGCTGCATGTTTTCTCTGGCCATTTCGTTCAACTCGTTCGTGAGTTTCTCGTACTCGCGAGCCATGTTCCGCCCTTCGCCAAGTGCTCGTTCTTCTAGCTGGACGTATCCGGTAGCTGCCTCACTCCGAAGATGATTCAGCTGCATCAGTAGCGACTCATTGGCTTCTCGATCTCGCATGTGTTGATGTTGGCCTGCTTCTTGCAACCTGAATACAGCCAGTTCATATTCTCCACGAGAGTTCATATGCACCTCGTTGATGTGCCTCGTCGCATCCTTCAGAAAGTCTCGCTGTCGTTCCAATTCTTCGATGCGCAGAGTTGCTCCACGGGTCGCTTTGACTCCTCTCTTCAATCTTTTGCATCAGCACATTTGCAATCGATTGGTGATGTAATGTCTCTGACTCCATGTTCTCCTGCATCCTGACTTCTGCCAGTTCCAACTGTCTGATGACGGTTTCTGCAACAGGAGCCACGTTCCCAAGGACATCTGAAGACATTCCTTGCGTCCATTGACGTTTTGAAGTAGGCGATATAGGCATCTGCTCTTCCCGTCGAGATACTGCCGAGGGCACGGATCTCCGGGAAGAACTTCTTGAAGACTTTGGTCGCTGCCCTTTCCGAAGCACTTAGGTCACGGTCTCCTGACTTGATTGTCTGCTGTAGGCTTTGAACCACCGACTTAACGCGCCTCCTCACTGCTGTTCTTGCTCTTGGGTTGGCGGACGATGGACGCGACGTTGGACTCATTCTCGGTGAAGATTTGGTCCTTCTTATGGGAACTGATGGCTCGGAAGGAGAAGGCTTGCCTTGCCATCATCCGCAGTGGAACTGTCAACGGACTGTGCCACCGGCTCGTCAGCTGTAGAATCTCCCACGGCTGGTAGAGCAATTGCACCATCGGTCATTGTCGTATCCGCATTCGATCCAGATGTCACTCTTGAAGATTGCTTTGTCGATCACTATCTCCTCGTCGACAAGCCGATCAATACGGCTGATAACCAGCGTGAGGGTTTGTATCCGATGTTGCTGTAGTTGCTCACCTCGCAGATCTTCTTGGTAACGGTTTGCTTGACGACTTTGTGGCCCACTCGCGCGCACTCTGTTCTTGGCGCCAGCGTTGGACTGAATCAAGTCCGTGCAAGAGGGATGGCTCGAATGTTGTCTAGATCTGAGTGGATAGCTAATTGCAGATTGTTGAGCTTGTTAGCTCGTTCTTGAGCCACGATGTTGGTGGTACGCTCGATAGTGTTGACAAACGTAGTAACCGCACGTTGTTCGGGAACCGACCCAGGGGTGTTACTGCTCATAGCTCTAATTACCAATCATGACGTGACACCAACGAATTTTACGGGGCATCGAGGACTGTTCGCACATGGAAATATGGAAAGCCCTATGCAAGTCCACATTTGCAGGGCTCTCGGGCATTGGTCTCGGCACATGTGGAAATGTGGAATTCCATTCATTTTCCACTATGTGCCAGACAGACACAATGTCAACATGTTAAAGTGTCCTGTTGCTGTTTGAATATTGCAACCCCTAGGATACAAGATCCAAGGTTGCAGAAAAAATCTTGGATCCGTTCCAACGGCCGTGTTTAAATATTTAACTGTTCTTAATATTCAAATCTGGCCCACCTGGATCCAATATTCAAGATGGCAGAAAAAAGTTGCTCGGATCCATCTTGGATCTAAAAATTTAATTTTTTTAAATCTGTAAATCCGGGCCGCCCGGATCCAAGATGGATCCAAAAAACTTTTTTCTGCAATCTTGGATCCTGGATCCAACGGGGCTCAGATTTAAAGGTGCAAAAAAAGTTGAATCTTTAAATCTGGGCCCCCCCTGGGTCCAAGATCCAAGATTGCAGACAAGAGTTTCTTGGATCCGCGCCAAGGGCTGCGCGCCCGTGTTAATACTTTTAACTGTTTTACAGGGGCCCTCCTGGGAGCACAACCCCTAGAGAACAAACAAGCGCCCACCCGTAAAGAACAAACAAGCGTCCACGGGCGTCCCCTTCTGTAATTATATAGACCTTCTGGTTCTTGAGAGATAAAATTGAATATACATCTCATGATACTAATGTTCCGAAGTTCCGAAGAGTAATCCCTCAAACATACTAAATTCCTAAGTCTTTATGACTACAACTTTTAACTGGGTGATAGACATGCAAGTCAGACGGAGCTAAATGACTATAATCAAATCACGCTTACGTCTATTCATTGGCTCAAGCCATTGTATTTAGTTCGACAATCGTAGCCCTGTCCCAAAAAACACAAAAAGCCCAAAATACAGCAGCTAAACACAACACAAAAACCATGCTTTCACTGGCTGGTTGTTTAGTCAGAATACATTTGTACCTGCTGGGCTTCGGTCTTCATGTCGCTCATCTCTTAACACTACAATAAACGCAGCCAGTAGATCGTCAAGGATATGTTGTTGCTTTTTCCGCTTAATGAACTCATGCTTGCACTTCGTTTGCTTGTGTTGAAACAATCGAAACATCAAGAACAAGTTCACTCCGCTCCTTCCTGAACACATCGTGATATTGTTGTTCCTAGTTTCGTTCGCTCCTTTGCTTTTGTTTCAACTAATTCCACGCATTTGTTTCTCTTCTTTGAAAAGTAATGAAACCAAAGGCGACAAAGGTTTACTTGTGACTAGTGCTAGTATTAGCGATCGCCGAAGGCCCCGCTTCATGCCACTGCCGAAAAAACAAAGTCCAGGAGGAAATGCAAACCAAGGAAATCATAAAAACAAAAAGACACCTAAGAAACAAAAGAAAGTCAAACCCAAAAAAAACAAAATCCAACAAAATCCCTTAGGAGGTCCAAACCAGCCCCAAAAAGCAAACACACAAAAAAATCAAACGATAGCATTCGAGTGCAAGTTTTCTGGCGCGCGCCAGTCTAACTACTAGAAACGAGCGTTGACGGCTCTCCGGGCCGCTGCTGAAGGCCTGAGACATGGCTTAATCAACACGGAAAATAATCCAAAAGCCAATGACGTCCAAAGGAAGAAAAAACAAAAACAGCAAAGACACCAAACCATCAAAGAAACCAAAACAAACAAACAACAAAATCCCAGGCGAAATCCAAAAACCAAGAAACCAAAAAAAACAAAAGAAATCACACAAACCAAAGAAACAAAAACCAAGCACTAAAATCCCAGACGAAATCCAAAACCAGAAAAAGGCCAAGAGAACAAAATAAACCAAAGAACGCAAAACCAAAAATGGCTTCTTTGAGGTTGGACTTCGTCTGGGATTATGGTTCTTTTGGCGTTGGTTTCTTTGGCTTGTTTGGTCTCGTTGGTTTTCTAGGTTCTTTTGGTTTCTTTGGTTTTGGATTCCGCCTGGGATTTCGTTGTGTTTTGGTGTTGGCTTATTTGTTTTTTGTTGTCTTTGGTGTTCTTTGGTGCTCTTTGTTTTTTTCCGCTTTCTTTGGCTTTGGATTTCGTCTGCGGTTTTGGTGTTTTTGGTGTTGGTTTCTTTGGTTTGGTCGGTTTTCTTTGGGTTTTTGGTACTATGGTTTGAGAGCCACCGAGGTCTACTCGTAAAACCAGCGAAACACAGGCAGGCGCCGTTTTCCGCCTCTAAACGGCTTGCGCACGGCTAGATAGAGCATAGTTGCAGCCCAGGCTCGAAAGTGAACCATCGTCGTTGGAACGCTAACGTTGACTGCCCGCAGCCGGAAAAGGTTAGGGACGCGAAAGGAGGAAAATGAGGTTTTGGGTTCCCGAAACCCTAGCAAAGTCTTTGTGGTGAACGGATTGCGGGATGAGTTATGCTTGGATGTGCAGAGTTTAGCTTTGGGGTTTGACTGTGGGTTTTGGGGGTTTTTGGGTCCAGAGTATATGCTCGAGAAGCGGGAGATTAGGGTGTAGGGTTTCGGATGTAGGGTTTTGAGTTTCAGGTTCAGGCTGGATCAACATTGAATCCTGAACAGCTCCTATAGATTTAGCGGCTTTGTGCCACATGAATATACTGCCTGTGCATAACAAATCTGTATGACCCCTTCAAGAAATTTATCCTGCAATCATATTAGGTGAAATTAGAGGGGTTTACAGACATCCTAGGTCTCGGAGAGGTTGTTTCTGAACATGGCTTTGGTGTTACAAATCATATAAACGAGTGACCCTACCAAGAGCCCAAACCATGGACTCTGAAGTCAATCCCCTCAAACTTCCCCAGGGTAGTTCCCGTTTGAGCACCTTAAACCGCGATGCTTCTCAACAAGCCCTTAGAAGCGACTTTGCGCGAACGAATGTATGAGCATCGGCCTTTCGCAGCTCACGATGCCAAGTGTTCTGATACTGCGTAGGGAGCAAACCTAGACCCCCAAAGTACTTATCGAAGGCTCCCAGAACCCCTAAACGTCAACCGTTTATCTGAAACTCCCCGCCTCCACCATGGCACATGCACCACGACGAGAAGGGCTTGAGTGTCAACCGTGCGGCGATGCAGCATTATGATGCTTACCTAATAGCAGGTCTTTAATGAGAGCCTGAACTAATATACTACACAACGAAAAAGCACCGACAACTGTTGCATTATATCAGTAGGTCGGTGTGAACGCCGAATACTCTAATTATCGTAATAAGGAACCCCCAAAATAGTATAGGTAACTATGAAGGCCCCTATATTAAACTCTAAGCCCTAACCCTGAACGCCCTGAACCCTGAACCCCAAAACTCTAAACCCCGAATGCCCAAAACCCTGAACGCCTGATGGAACCGTGCCTAGACTCCTCAAGGCCCCACCTAAACTCAATACTACAAGTATTAGAATAAGGAAGCCCCAGAATAGTTTAGGTAACTATTAAAGCCCCCTATATGCCCTTTATTAAAGTCCTGAAACCCCAACCAAAACTTGGCTGATTTCTACACCCCTCCTAACAGTTAAACTTTTAACCTCCTTATTATGGTTCATATAGAAACCCAAAAAGTTAAAGTCCTAAGAGCCAACCAGAAAAACGCCAAGAAAAGAGACCCACCTAGACTCAATACTACAATTATTAGAATAAGGAACCCCCAAAATATTAAGGTCCCCTATATGCCCTTTATTAAACGCCTGAAGGCCCCGCCAAGAAAAGAGACTGCTCCTGGCCGCCACATCCTGGCGTGCCGGTGCCTCGGGGCTCAAGCTGCCTCCCCCAACGTCTTCCAAGGTAATCCAGGGCCCTTAGAATAAGTTTCCGTTAAAGGTATCCTTAATATTAAAGGGCTCTGCAAAGGATCTATAGTAGGGGCCTGAAGAACTGGAAGAGGGTTCCTTTACAGGGATCCTTAAAAGGGTTCTAGAAGGGATCTATAATAGGGTTCTATAGTAGGGGCCTTAATAACTAGAATAGGGTTTTGGGGTATAATATACTATGATTATAATAAGAACCCCCCCAACATAGTCTTGGTATCTATTTAGCCTCCCACAGTACGCAGTCCACGAGGGATGTCCTAAACTCCTCAGCCCCTCGTGAGTCCAATGTTCAAAAGCGCAAAGTGCCTGATAGAGTAAACATATAGTGAAAGCCAGAAAGTTGGAACATGGATTAAGGATGATAAGTGCTGGTAAGTAGACATGAGTGAACAACAGACAAAAAGACGCTCCTCAAAAAACAGACTCTCGAGCCTTTTTTCCCGAAAAGCTGAGCTCCTTCGTAACATGAGGGCCCATACTACAATGAGGCGACCGGCGTCGTTCGCAAGTGTTGTGCTGATGAACATACGATATAAGAGTCTCAATAATTCAGAACAGGGTTTTGGGGTGCGTTGTGGTTAAGCTGCGGTAAGGAGCCTTAAGGAATAACAATCGTAACTGTTCGGGCCCTAAACCCTAAACCCTAAGCCCTACGACGAAGATTCAGCACAGGCACTGTTCGGGCCGCAGCGCACCCGCTCATGGAAGAAGGGGCAGAGGCACTTGGGGTCGTCATTGCCATAGTCCTCCATGGCTGCACAAAAGCACAGGACGTCTCACGATGGATGCTGAAGCTCCTCTAGCCAGAGTCGTGCTTCGAAAAGTAGGGTTTAGGGTTTGGGGTTTAGGGTTTCGTGTGCAATGACCGAAAAGTGGAACGATCTTGGACATCTTGGAGGGCATCGTGCTGACATACCCGTGATGCTAAGGTCAGTTGAAGCCTCACGCAGCCATCTTCTAAAGGTATCGATATCCAGCGACTTTATGGGGTTTGCACGTCTTTAGAAGAAGAACCCTAAACCCTAAACCCTAAACCCAACCCCCTAAACCTAAACCCTAAACCCTAAACCGTGAGGGAGTTTGAACCCAGGCGCATGGTTCCCAAAGACGGCAAACCAGGGGTACTCGGCCAATTCTCCATAGACGCTGCGCCAGGTGGGCTCGAACCGCCCTGGGCTGCATCCCATCCTCGGCTTATATGGGGGCCTTAAGAATGAGAATAAGACTAAGGGTTTGGGGTACATTAACTTATAATAAGACCTCCGAATTTAGCGCACGGCACGAAGACCGCCACCACCCGGTCCATCATCACTTGCCAACATTGCGCGGATCCCTTTCATGTGCTGTAGGGGCCTTAATAGATTTAAATAGGGTTTTTGGGTATATTCTGCTGTGATCTTAATAAGGAACCCCCAAAATAGTATAGGTAATTATTAAGGCCCTATGTGTTTAGCTTACCAAATCAGGAGCTGCTTCATCGGTGGTGTCCCTGGATCAAAAGAGTTTTGCGCCTCGATGGATACAAATGTGTGGACGTCCGAAGTTTCCACGCTGTTTTGCTTAGGAGCTCGAGGATAAATCTGAGGCTATGACACTGACGACACCAGGTTGTTCCGTTGAATGCACTAGCACATGTAGGGTTCAGGGTCCAGATGCTCACAGAATCCCTCCACTAGCTAACAGATTGCGTGCGCTGTCGTCTTCAGTTGAAGCCTAGAGACTCGATATTTGGGATTGACGAGACTTTGTGGTCAGGAATAGCTCAGAACGCGATAAGCCTTGCAGTACCACGTTCACAAGGCAATCAGCACCTCAATTATGACGAAAAGGAAAGAAGGACCATTCCGCAACCAACATTCAAAGAGAGAAGCCTTAACGACTACCAGCAAACTTTGTTTCATGGGGTGCTTCTTTTTGCCCGGTTGTACGATAATCTTCCCACAAAACCCTATTCGAATGATTAGTTAAGGCCCCGATATGCCCCGATATGCGACAGTCAGCCCCGGACTGAGAGAAGCCCGAGCATCCAGTAGAAGTTGTCTCCCACCAGCAATACGAAGAGCAGTGTCGAGTTGGGATTCCGCTGCTTCCGCTGCTTCACGTAGGCCTTCCTTGGCACCAGAAGAGGCCCTCCTTTGCCCTAGTTGATGGTAGTGTGCTAACTAGGAAGAGTTGCACGCTCTTTTTTCAAGGTCTCAGGACTTTTTCAGCATCGTTTTGATCGAAGTTCGCGTCGAGGATCCAGACACCTTTCACAGGCCTTGCACAAGAGCTCCACTTAAGACTTCAAAGACAATCGGAAGACTATCGCCACTCCGTGCACTTGCCCTGCATGACCAAAACACGCTAAAGAAGAGATATGCGTTTATCCAGTATTTCAGACTCAACCCCTTTGTGAAAGATGCACCTGTTAATCCAAGAACACGCCGCCCGACAGCACAAGATGAAAAGCCACAGCTCTTGGACTCTTGCATCACGTAAACGCTTGAGGACGCTTCTTGTTTTTACAAAGAATCTCCAACTGACTACTCTTGATGGTCAAAGTGGGGCTCCCCTTCCCCATCAATCAATAGATCTTTAACCATAAATGCGCACCTTGTCGAACCCATTTTGCACCTTGTAAGAAGCCCAAGCAGCAGCTTTCAAAGCGCTGGTTAGTTTCGACTCCCCGTGGGTTAGAAGAGGGTTTTGGGGTATATAAATCTATAAGTCTAATAAGCAACCCCACAAATAGTAATGGTAGTTATTTAGGCCCCTGTAGTAAAGGAATCAGTACCTTGACTTACTTGTCCAGTATCCTGGGGATTTGAAGGTTAATCTCTGGGATTAAATAGGGATTATAGTACCCCATAAGTTTAAGGGTTACCTACTCTGCTACTACCCCAGTAACTACTTAAGTTCCAAGACCCTTGCAGCCCTGACCGTTTGAGAAATCGCTCAAGAAACCGTTTAAGGAACCCTAAACCCCGAACCCTAAACACAAGGCCTATAAACCCTAAACCCTGAACCCTAAACTCCCAAGACGAGAGGCATCTTGCTGGCCACTTGCTGCTGCCAGCCGCAGCAGCCTGAGCAGCCACCGTCACAGCCTCCGTTGTCGCCGATGACCTCGGTACTTAAGGGTTTAGGGTTTAGGGGATAGTAAGTATACCGTGTTTAGGGTTCAGAGGTTTTACGGGGGGCTTGTCGGGTTTTCTGCGGGTTTACAGCGTGGGGGCCTTAGTAGCACAACTATGCTAAGGAACCCTGAGGAGAATCTATACTCAGTAGGCGTCTATAGTAACTGTACTCGAAGGGGCCTTAATAATTAGACTGTGTTTCGGGTTCAGGGTTGTACAAGGGGTTAATAGGGTTTTGAGGGTTCGTAGTATAGCGGCCTCAATAACTATAATGGAGATTGCGTATCCAGAACAGCATGATTAAACTGAGAAACTTTAACGAATAGTATTATTCACTATGCAGGCATATATATTGACTGTACTTTGTCATGCTAGAACTGTATTCAAGAACCCTCAGAGGTAGCAGCATGATTTATTCAGGCCCCAAAGTCTGCTTGTTTATGGGCTTTATAAGGACTCATAAGGGCCGATTGGGGTGACATTGAGGGAACCCAAAGAAGTTGCGGCTTGCAAGAAAGGTCTCTTTAGGTGCTTGACGGCTTAGTTGGGGATGTAAGGTTCAGGGTTCCATGATCCGGCAGGAATAGCAAACCAAGGGACTCACTTCTGGGCTACTGCAGTGAACATGCCGAAGCCCGACAGAGAGTAAGGGACTGAGTCGACGACCAAATAGAAATTGTCGGAGACGTTGCCAGCGTTGCCTGCAGGAGGCGGAGGACAGTCGCCTTACTTTTGAGTCGGGCCACTGCATCGGATGCTGCTGGGAGCAGGGGGGGGGGGCATAATTCAACGGTGTAAGAGTGTAAGAGTGCCACTCTCGTGTCGGCCTCGGATTCCGCGTGCGCGGGCTGAGATGTTGAGATAATCCGGCGTGGTGTCGAAGTGCGGATGATAGGTTCCCATGTCACACTGCCGATAGCATCGATTGGAGACATCACCGTTCAAATGCCTCGCATTCAATTTTGCTGATGAGTGATGGGTTCGTTTCGGGTTAGGGTAGAAGGTTTACGATGTAGGGTTTAGGGCCTGCATCTGAACTGCCTTTGACAACGCCTCAGAACACCTGCTCAAGCAAACGACAGAAACGCAGGCCGTCTTCGGGGTTGCAGATTTCACCGCTTGAGTTGCGGATCGGTTCTCTCCTGACACATCAACCCAAATTCAATCTCTAAAACCCTAAACCCATAAACCAGAAAAATCCTAAACCCCTAAATAGTCTGGAGCACAAAGGGCAACAGACACACAGACACCAGACACACACACACAGAGACACATGACGAAGCTGCAGAGAGCATCGAATGTAAGGCCTGGATAACTTTAACGATAGTAAGAATAAGAATAGTAATAACAACAATGGCAATAACACCGATAACAATAAGAATAACAATAAGCATAATCCTATTCAATTGCCTTTTCGTTTATGCCGTGCTTTGGTCTCAGTAAGGACGTTGAGGAATAGTATCAATCACAATGCCTTGATATAACGAAATGTGTCTGAATTGTTAATGGGACCATCGAGGAATGTTGTCGGAAACGGCTGCGGGGACTTCATGAAGTTAGGCGTGCCTGATTTAAGGGGTTCAAAAACAAAATCAGACTACCGAAAGCCAAATTTCAGGACCCTCATATCTGCTACTACTTGTGGCTTCATGGTGAAGATCTTGAGACCATGACAGCACCCGCTCGAAGGCAACTGAGAAAGTCAGAAAATAGGGGGCCCAAGTCTGGATCAAACATGATCTAACCAGATCCCTCTTGTTAGTAAACCCGAAAACCTTCACCGGCGATCCTTGCTCTCAGAACTCCTCTCTCCCCTACCACCACCACCACGACGACGACTACTACTCCTGCCGCTGCTGCAGCTACTGCTACTGCTACTACTGGCATTAGCGATATTCATAGAGTAGCAACGTTGATGGTAATTCCATTTGATGGCAACAGTAATAGCAATGGTCATGGTAGTAATAAAGTCCGGCAAAGGCAAATCCGAAAACCCAGGCTCTCTCGCCCCAAGTGCAGATGGGACGCCAGTCTCCAGAGCATTCCTGCAGATCATGTAATATAGGGGCCTTAATAGTTATGCTAATTTTACAATAAGGAACCCCCCCCCCCCGCCCCTTATTGGCAATTCTTTAAGGTCCCTGTATTGCGGTCCATGTTCGGTTGAGAGCAGGCAGCTACGACCCAACGGGTACCATGTAGGAATCAGGACAACACTTCGGGGTACAGCTACCTTGCTGGTTCCTTACACTGTGAGCATGGCGACAAAGGCGAAAGCTGGGAGGATTGGGGCTTCTTGGGATGCCGGCTTGTGGTGACCGGCTGCAGAAGTGCACTCTGAACTCTTACCCGTAAAACACTCGAACCCCAAAGTGCGAACAATCGCAGCCTTGAGCCTTGCACAGTTCCTGCAACATGGCATGGTTTTTGCTGGGCTGGGTTTCAAAAGCCTTGATCCTCGCAACCTCTGGGTGCTCGTGTGCCAGGGCTGTGAGGGATCTGGGAGGCCCTACTCAGAGAGCCCAATACCCTTTAATTAAGGAATATACCTTGAACTATAGGGGCCTTAATATTATAGTTTAAAGTATATTCCTTCATTAAGGAATATGCCTTAAATTAGAGGGGCCTTAATATTATAGTTTAAGGTCTATTCCTTAATTAAGGGGTCTTGGGCTCTCTGGGTAAGGATCGAGTGTCGAGGCGGCACTTCCTCCGAAACCGATCGTCCCCGGCACAAAATTGCTCTGACATGGGGCTGGGTTTAGGGTTTAGGGTTTAGGGTTTAGGGTTTAGGGTTTAGGGTTTAGGGTGCAGGGTTTAGGGTTTAGGAGTTAGGGTTTAGGGTTTAGGGTTTAGGGTCTTAATACCCGGAATCGGGGTTTTGGGGTATAGTGTACTATCATTAGAGCAGGAACCCTAAGGAATAGTGGTGGTCATCAGTACTCGGAATCGTTTTTTTTTTTGTGGGGGGGGGGGAGGATCATGTACTATCATTAGAGGAGGAATCCTAACGAATAGTGGATGACCACGATCCCTATACCCCTAACACCTGCCAGCGCTGCGCCTGCAGCCCCTCACAGCACGCTGCATAGCTGCCCGTCTCGTAGGTGCGCTCTCCTGGACTGAGACAGGCTTATACCATGCTTCTAACTCTAACCATGGCTTCTGAAAGCCGAGCTTTCTGCTTGGGCGTCTGCTTCTTCACGGTTGTAAGGCTGCCAGTCAGTTTGCAGTTTAGGCCAGTCGATTTCCACAGTTTTCGCATCAGAAGAAGTTCAGGCGAGTAAGAACCTACGTATTCACTGACAGTCCGAGGCCCATCCAATTCATACAGAAGGCGGAAGAATTACAAATGTTATTCCTTAGGGTCCTTCATTTTTGAACGATGATGTACACCAACACCCTATTCTGACTATTAGGGCCCCTACACTAAGCCCTTATAGTAGTCCTTACAGAGACTCTTTGAAAACGAAGCCATAAAGGGACCCTACCATTATAGAGCCCTTTAGAGACAGACCCATATCTTCTTCTCGTCGGACGTCAGAGCTACCGTATCACACATGGGCTGATGTAGAAGCCTCAAACAACTAGAATCGGGTTTTGGGGCCCAGTATACTAAACCTTTAATAAGGAACCCCCCAAAACAGTACAGGTAATTATTTCGACCCCTACATTGCACAAATCATCTTTTCACGGGCACGAGGGGTTTAGGGATTGTGGCTTAGGGTTTGGGGCTTGGGGTATAGGTATTGTGGCTGAGGGTTAAGGGTTCCGGGCTAAGTGTTTCGGGTTTGGGGTTAAGGGTTCAGGGCCTAGGATGTAAGGTTTAACGACATACCGTCCTTAGTTCAACGTGAAAACGATGATATGTCGTCGGCTGATGCCCGCAGTTTTGTTCATGCAAGAATCCTTTGACACAAGTGACGCTACAAAGCCCTGATAGGAAAGACAACCCCCCAACAGAACCATTCACACCTTAAGGTACGGGGTCT